ATATATATACATCTATATGTACATATATCTATTCTAGTGGTAACACTATCTTTATCTTGACAATATAATCTGCACAGAATACTGGCTGGAATTGCCTTGGTGAAGATGAGAGGTGCCACAAAGGGTAGCTGAGAATGATCGAGCTAACATCCTGTGGGACCTTCAGATCCAGACAGACAAGAAAGTAGTGGCCGATTAAGGAACAGGGCACTCATAAAATACATTTCTAAATTTTATAAAACTACTTAAAATCGTCTATCTCGGTAAACATATATGGGGATTCAGTTCCACCATATGGCCATATTGTGTTAAGCTTTGTCACTAAATTATTTTTTAATTACATTTAGCACATTATTTTTGCATTATATATTCCCAATGCTCTTACAAACAGACTATTTAAATAAACTTCAGCTGATTTTGCACTAAAACTCTTTGTTTTGTTTCCCCTGTTAGAATTAGTGTAGGACCCACCGATATTGTTGTACTGTGAAGTAGTGGTGCGCTTAACACAATATGGCGATATAGTGGAACTGAATCCCTATTGCTAAGATAGGCAATTTTAAGTAGCCTTTACAAAAATCTAGAATTTAGACATGTATTTTATGAGTGCTTAATCTGTATTGTGTATACATTTTGGTCACTACGGCAGCACCATTCCTGCAAGATGCATGTTCCAGGTGTGCCCCCAATTCCCTCTTGTTTTTACTAAGAAAGTAGTGGTGGATGTGGCAATACCCAGTGACTACAAAATCAGGATAAAGGAACATGAAAAAGTAGACAGTTACCTAGAACTAAAAGAAGAACTAAAAAGAATGTGGAAAGTGAAGACACTTGTTGTCTCAGTTGTGAGAGGACCACTCAGGGCTGTGAAGACACTGACCCATACAGGAAGTGTGTCATCAGAAATGGACACTTAAAATGCAGTGAAAAAAACGGAATGAAAATCAGAACAGCTGAAACAACAGATGGAGGTAATTTACCAATGGATGAGATGTCCAATAGAAGAGGAAAAGGAGTGTATGCCCATCACACCACCAATGGACTTCCAGCACTTATTGTATTTAAGGGAAGGGGAGGGAGGGAAGCAATAGGCTTATGGATACACCTGTTAGTATTTGGAGTGTATAAATTGTATGTTTTTTAAATTTTGGTTCCTGAAGAAGTTTCCTAAGGGGAACGAAACGCGTAGAACCATATTTTAATTTAATTTTACTATATGCCAATAAATCCATTGTTTTCTACTTTCAACCATTGGGAGAGTGTGAACTTCTTGGTCTCCAGATTGGCGTTACTACAAACAAACAGGACCTACCCCCCTACCAATAGGGGTGGCAACCTGAAGGCTTACTATATACAACAAATCTGTGAGATTAACCTTGAACCATTGGGCAATTAATAAGACCACAACAGTATTACGCTATGCTGTATTTTTTTATTTATGTTTTAGTGATACAAGCTGGATCCCTATTCCATATGTACCATAAGTTACCTAGAACTAAAAGAAGAACTAAAAAGAATGTGGAAAGTGAAGACACTTGTTGTCCCAGTTGTGAGAGGACCACTCAGGGCTGTGACCCATAAGTTGGGGGAGTGGCTTCAACAAATTTCATGTGGAACATCTGAGATCGCTGTCCAGAAGAATGCAGTTCTAAGGTACTGCACAGATCCCTCAGACCCCCAGGCCTCTGAGAATGAGGAATGGTAAACAAATCTTTTTTCTTTAAATATACCCAAAAGAAGACATTAATTTAAAGCCTGGTAAATCAAAGAAATCTTTAGTTAACGTTTCACACACTTTTTCATTACTTATTTGCTGTTAACATTGCTATGACTATGTTGGTACAAGATAATTGACTTCTATCGAAATTCTAGTGCAGAGTATATTTTGTTTCAGACTCTATGCATCAAAGATTTGGACTTAACTCTTCTCTTTCTCAAGATAAAATACACCCATGTAAGCACAAAATATATAATCCATTCAATTAAAAAAAAATACTTACTATACATTTTTGTGCTTTCAAAACAATGTGCAACCGGAACCAGAAAAGCATGGAAACACCTATGAAAGCAAAATGAATTTCAGTGTAAGGTGTTATCTCATATACAGGGAGTGCAGAATTATTAGGCAAGTTGTATTTTTGAGGATTAATTTTATTATTGAACAACAACCATGTTCTCAATGAACCCAAAAAACTCATTAATATCAAAGCTGAATATTTTTGGAAGTAGTTTTTAGTTTGTTTTTAGTTATAGCTATGTTAGGGGGATATCTGTGTGTGCAGGTGACTATTACTGTGCATAATTATTAGGCAACTTAACAAAAAACAAATATATACCCATTTCAATTATTTATTATTACCAGTGAAACCAATATAACATCTCAACATTCACAAATATACATTTCTGACATTCAAAAACAAAACAAAAACAAATCAGTGACCAATATAGCCACCTTTCTTTGCAAGGACACTCAAAAGCCTGCCATCCATGGATTCTGTCAGTGTTTTGATCTGTTCACCATCAACATTGCGTGCAGCAGCAACCACAGCCTCCCAGACACTGTTCAGAGAGGTGTACTGTTTTCCCTCCTTGTAAATCTCACATTTGATGATGGACCACAGGTTCTCAATGGGGTTCAGATCAGGTGAACAAGGAGGCCATGTCATTAGATTTTCTTCTTTTAGCCACGCTGTGGAGTACTTGGACGCGTGTGATGGAGCATTGTCCTGCATGAAAATCATGTTTTTCTTGAAGGATGCAGACTTCTTCCTGTACCACTGCTTGAAGAAGGTGTCTTCCAGGAACTGGCAGTAGGACTGGGAGTTGAGCTTGACTCCATCCTCAACCCGAAAAGGCCCCACAAGCTCATCTTTGATGATACCAGCCCAAACCAGTACTCCACCTCCACCTTGCTGGCATCTGAGTCGGACTGGAGCTCTCTGCCCTTTACCAATCCAGCCACGGGCCCATCAAGACTCACTCTCATTTCATCAGTCCATAAAACCTTAGAAAAATCAGTCTTGAGATATTTCTTGGCCCAGTCTTGACGTTTCAGCTTGTGTGTCTTGTTCAGTGGTGGTCGTCTTTCAGCCTTTCTTACCTTGGCCATGTCTCTGAGTATTGCACACCTTGTGCTTTTGGGCACTCCAGTGATGTTGCAGCTCTGAAATATGGCCAAACTGGTGGCAAGTGGCATCGTGGCAGCTGCACGCTTGACTTTTCTCAGTTCATGGGCAGTTATTTTGCGCCTTGGTTTTTCCACACGCTTCTTGCGACCCTGTTGACTATTTTGAATGAAACGCTTGATTGTTCGATGATCACGCTTCAGAAGCTTTGCAATTTTAAGAGTGCTGCATCCCTCTGCAAGATATCTCACTATTTTTGACTTTTCTGAGCCTGTCAAGTCCTTCTTTTGACCCATTTTGCCAAAGGAAAGGAAGTTGCCTAATAATTATGCACACCTGATATAGGGTGTTGATGTCATTAGACCACACCCCTTCTCATTACAGAGATGCACATCACCTAATATACTTAATTGGTAGTAGGCTTTCGAGCCTATACAGCTTGGAGTAAGACAACATGCATAAAGAGGATGATGTGGTCAAAATACTCATTTGCCTAATAATTCTGCACTCCCTGTAGTTAGTTATAGTACCACAAGCGCCTTTGTAAAGGCAGTGTCTGGAGAAGTCAAGGCAGTGGGATCCAACCTGCCTAGAAGAAGGAGAACAAGCAGTGGGGTTGATACCTGACTGAAAGAAGCTGGACAGTCAGAGGGGTTGAAGCAGTTGGGGCTGCACACTGGGAGAGATATACCTTGAATCTAGTCTCAAAAAAATAAAATTGGGCAAACTAGATGGGCTGAATGGTTCTTATCTGCTGTCACATTCTATGTTTCTAT